CCACTTCGGCATCCTCCCTGATTATGCAACACGCTGCAGGCCCGGCGCGCACCGAGCCAGGACCGCCGGCCCGGGGTCCCCACGGGCTCCCTCCCGGGCCGCCATGACCCGCGCCCAGCCGTGGTGCCGACCCCTTCCGGCCTGCTAGGTTCCCCGACAGTCCTAGAGACTTCTCCCTCCGCCAGCTTCCCTGGCCCTCCCCAGCACCTCCTTCTCACCTCCCCAGTCTCCCCCTACTCACTGGACTTGACCCCTACCCTCGCGGCCCCACACCCCCATGCACGCTGCTGCTCCCTCCGCTGCCTTCCGTCATCCGGCATCCTTGATTCCTACCCTGTTCCACGTTGCCCACTTCCCCCACCCTGACCGCTGGCGGGGGCCTTCCCAAGCCCCCCAAAAGACGACTAGGGAGACATTGTGGTAAGGACATGCCAGGGCGTCCACCAGGGGGCACCTTCACAGGGACAAGCTGCAGGAGGGCAGCATCATTCATGCCGATAACTGCGGTTGTTCCCAAGGAACAAGATGGATCCCACAACCTCAAAGTCACAAACGCACATCCCTCGCGATGCAGGCTCTGGCTGCCTCAGGGTGACATCCAAACTCCCAGCCACAGCCAGCCCTGGAGTCCCCTCGCAGGATAGGGTGCACGCTGACCCCAGCACTCACCACCTACTCATGCGGGGTCACGCATGCAGCCACCCCCGACACACTCTTAGTCACATGGTGCACAGTGGCCTCAGAGTCACATGGTCCCATGTAGTGGCACACAGGCAGGCACACACTCACACAGGGTCACACACAAGCGCACATGGTCACATGGCCACACGAAGTCACATGGGCCCACACAGGCTCATGCTCCTGCAGGTCACACTTGCTCTGCCACCCCACGCTGCTGGCACTCCCGGCCCCCTTGCTTGCATGCTAACAGTTGTCCTTGAACTTGGGCACCTTTACACAAAGAGCTTCCCCTGCCTCCAGCGCCTTGAGCCTCCCTTGCCCACATCCTTCTCCCTGACCCTGGCTTCAGAAAAGACACTGCTGCTGCCTCTGCTGACACCTTGGCCCTGACAGGTGGGCGGCCCCACTGGACCCAATGCCTACACTGGAGCTCCCGGCATTCCCCGGCTATCCCTAGCAGGGGTCCTGGAGGTGCAGGCAAGGGAGAGAAGAGGGTAGTGAGATGGGCCCAGGTTTCTGGGTGTGGGCGTGCATGTGCTGGCATGGCTGGGTCCCGTCATGTCGGTAGCTGTTCGTGCGCTTGTGTTTGTCCCAGCATGGGTCAGGTTGTGGGTCAGTGTGTGTCCTGGGGTACCTCCTCTTCCGATGCCTTCTCCCCACCCTCGCTCCTACATCGACACTCTCTGCCTGCACAGCCTCTGGACGGTTCTTGTTCTGGGCCCTGCCCCTCCATCCCCACACTCTGTCCCTCCACCCCTTCCAGCAAAGCCCCGGGTCCCTCGCCCCATCCTCAGCCCGGCTCGCACCTTTATCGTGCAGTCGCACGCCGAGGTCGCTGCGGGCGCGCCCGTAGGAGCTCTCGAGGTCTGCCGAAGAGAACGTGTCAAGTTTGACCTTCTTGACCAGGAAGGACCTGGGCATGATTCCTGCGGGGCTCCGGCGCTGCGGGACTGCAGGCTCCCCCCGGGGGTGCCGAGCACAGGCGCAGCCGGAGGCGCGGGGCCAATTAGCATTTTGATTGCGGGACTGGGGGCCCATCTGGACCGAGGCCTAATTACCGGGCGGACCCTCGGGGCGCCTGCGGGACGTGCCAGGCGCGATCCCCTTACTCGGCGTTCGCCGCCTGCTCCCGGACACTCTGTCCCCGCCCCCAACTCCGTCCTCCCGACTCCATTGCTGTCCCCCTCCACTAGTCCCAGGCATCCTGTCGCTCTGTCCCCGTACGTCTGTCCGTCATTCTTCCATTCCTCTACCCCGTCCCCGTGTCTCAGACCTTCGTCCCTCCCTCTCCGTCCCTCTCGCCCCGGCCCCGCTCTTGTGTGGATCTGCACTCATCCCCCGTTTCTCCATTCCTCCACCCGACCTCTCGGTCCCTCCGTCTCCGGTCTTCCTGCCCACGTCCCTGCCTCTCTCTCTGTCGGTCTCCCCGCCCCTTTGGCTCCCAACCCCTTGGACGGACCAGGCGTCAGAAAGCGGACACAGGTGTCCCGCGGCCCGGCGCTCCCGAGGGGACCATTCGGGCAGCCCTTGCTCGCGCTCGGATGCAGCCCACAGCCCCCCGGGGCGCCCGACGGGAAGGGGCAGCTGGATTCCAGGCCTTGGCCATCAATCCGAACCGGCCCGGGTGCGGAGCGCACATGCGACCCAGGCGCAATTACTTGGCCCCTGTCTCCACGTCTCCCTTCTAGCGTCGCGACCCCGCGCGCCCCTCTCACCCCGCCCCCCTGCATCTATATGTCGCTGCGACGCCCCAATCCCGGGGTCCCGCTAGCAGAGGATGAGGAAGGACCGTTGGCGATTTTCACGCTTTTGGAAAGTTTCAGCCCTCCTGCATCTGAGACTCCACTCTGAGTCTGCACTCTGAAAGCCGGCGTCCTGGGAGGCTTTGTTTCCGGACAGGAGCCCGTTAGGGTCCCCAGACAAGGCCGCGTTGGCCCCAGCCAGTGGATGCTACAAATCCAGACTGCGGCTGGGCCTCCCAGGCCCTCCCTGCAGAGACTGGGGGTAGGGGGTTTCTCTTCCTGCTGTCCTGATTGAAGTGGCAGCTCTTCAGAGCTCCTTATCCCTCTGGGATTGAGGTGCACACTGTTGGTTCTGTGACCCTCTGCGTCTCTCTGCTTTTGGTTGCACCAACCCGTGCCCTTCCACGTCCCATGTTTTGGAAAGGCCAGGCTTAAGGTGGGGGCACTGTTGTGTTTGCAGCACCCCACCCCCAGCAAAGCCGGAGCCCCTCGTGTGCCTGCCCTGGGGTCCTGCGGTCATGTTTTCGTCGCCCACCCAGGGAATCAGTGCACAGCCTAGCCTTGAGGGTCCACCCGTACTGGGCAGAGGGGAGGAGATGGGCAGATAATGGGGTGATAGATTGAGACGACAGGGTGGGGGCAGTTACTGGTGGTGACCAGGTCAAGGTCATTGGTGGGAAGAGGTCAGGGCTGTGAGGGGGTTGAAGGGTCGTCCCTGGGAACATTGAGCAATGCGTCGGGGCGATGCTGCCAGTGAGGGCCGGTGTGGGTGGCTGGTGCACCCGATGACTCGTGTCCCAGCTGGGACTCTCAAGGGGAAGAGGGGAGAAGTGTCTGCAGGCCTCGGTGAGGAACAAGGTGGGTGGGTGTCCCACCTGCAGGCAACGGGGGTCTAGGTGGGGAGCGAGAAAGCAGCCCCTGAAGAGGGCTGCCAGGGAGGGGGAAGCATGAAGGGAGCCAGGTCCCTCAGGAGAGTAAAGCCGAGGGGGACAGGGGTGGGGGGTGCCAGCTGGAGCTCCAGGGAAGGGCTTCGGGACTGGGGGTCTGTACCCCAAAATAGGTTATGTGTGCTAGGAGGGCCCATGGGGACAGGGACATGCGGGATGGGTCAGACAGGCCCAGACGCAGGCTTGATGCCTGCTGGGGCGGGAGCTTTGAAGAGCCACAAGAGAGGTTGAACCGCAGCACAGTTAGAAGTGTGCACATGACAACGACAAGCAGAACAAAGTGCACGCATGGACATAGTAGAAAAGATTTGCGCCAAATATAGCAGCAGGCTAATATTCTGACTATGGAAGGAAATAACGGGTATAAGTGAACTTTTTACAGATCAAAGATGCTAACGGGAGATTGACTATACAAGAAATGAGAGACCAGGGCCTGGCTGGTGAGCTCGCTTGGTCAGAGCGCAGTGTTATAACCCCAAGGTCAAGGGCTTGGATCCCTGTATTGGCCGACTGCCAAAAAAGCAACAAAGAAAGAGATCTTACACATAAACAAAGACATGCAAATGAAATGACAAAATGCAAATTTGAGGGTTTTTTAAATAGAAAATATCAAAATATGCACCAAAGTGGAGAGGTCCAGATGAGGAGTCCCCACATGCCACCGCCCGCCTCACCCAAGACCAGCTCACAGCTGTCCAGCTTCCTCTCTGCTCCCACTCCCTCCCCTGTCATTTTGAAGCAAATCCCAGACATATCACAAAATGCCATTTTGCTCTTCATAAGTAAAGAGAGAAGCACACATGAGCCTGGAGAGTGGGCGTGTGGGTGGGGCCCGGCCTCCTGCTCTGCTGTGGCCCAGCTGGAGCTGGCGATACCCAGAGATGCAACTGGATGCGGCCCCTTCTCGCTTTCGGCAAGGCGACCCCTCAGCCTCCTACGTCCAGGGTCTCCGGCTGGATAGCACAGAGGCCAGCATCCCCAAAGTAAGCAAACTCCCACCTCCTTCCAGGGGTTCAACTGCCTCACCTGCTTAACTGCCTAACCTTGGCCTTGGGCAAGGCTCATTTCATTTTTAAACCTGAGATATAATTTCCATAGTAAAATACCTTGAACGCAGAGTTCCATCGGCTTTAACAAATGCACATGCTCTTGCGACACACGTCCCTGTAGAGACACAGGACACTTCCATCCCCTTACAGGACAGTTCTTTGGTGCAGTTTTAAAGGAGGCACTGGAGGAGCAGGAGAGGGCTAGGGGGAAAAGGAGGAGGAGGGAAGGACGGAGTGGGAGGACTGGAAGGGGGCAGAGACGGCTTACACCGGAGGGCAGCAGGTCCCCTGCATTGGCCACCGTGGTGAAGGCTCTGGCAGTGGACAGTGGGCCACCGATCTGCCTGCACTGCACAGGAGCCCGGCAGCTTCATAATCCCTAATCTAGTATGGACCTTCCCACCCTCACCTGCCTCGACCTCCCCATGGCGTTGTACACTTTACCATTTGCTCTGGGAGGCCTGCCCCACCGTGGCGTCAGAGCACACTCCTCCAGCCCCCGCACTTGGGTCCTCCCAGCTCTGCCCCTGAGAGGGGAGCACACTCACTGCCTCCTCCCTGGCTGCCCCTCCACCTTCTCATTCCCATGGTAACCTGGGCCCCGGGGGACCACACTTCCTCACCAAGGGCAGCTGGCCCTCATCATCCACCCGGACTCGGGTGGCTTCTTGTCCGTTTTCCATCGCACTCTTCCTTGTGGTGGACGTGTGGCTCATCTCACATACCACCCTCCAGAGAAAGACTTCAGCCCCACTCTAGGAGAGCTTGGAGTAACACTCCAGCTGTCAGATGCTCCAGGGTCTGCTTCAGCTACAGAGAGCCCCTGGCCCAAGGTCACAGCCTTCTAGGGGTGGCCTGCCTCCAGCAGCAAATTTTGGCCCATCTCAAGACACTTCTTTGGCCCAAGGTCACAGCCTTCTAGGGGTGGCCTGCCTCCAGCAGCAAATTTTGGCCCATCTCCAGACACTTCTGACAGACCGTTCTGATTGCAGAGCTTCCACTGGGGTGGCCGGGGCTGACCTTGGCACCTGATTCCTCTCTCCCCCATGGAAGTTAACCACTCCCTCCCCGAGGACCTAAGCTGTAGGAGTGGGAATCAGGAGTGGTCTGAGGAGGCAGGTCATCTGCCACTGCTGGAAGTGGAGCACAGAGGGTCCAGGGCACAAGGGCCCTGTCTTAGTGCTTTTGGGCTGTTATAACAAAATACCATAAACTGAGTGCCTCCTAAGCAGCAGAAATTTATTTTCTCACAGCGCTGTAGGCTGGGAACTCCAGGATCGAGAAGACCCAGTGTCTGGGAGGATGCTTCCTGGCTCATAGACAGCGTCTTCTTGCTGTATCCTCACACCGTGGAAGGAACCAAGGAGCTCTCTGAGGCCTCTTCTATCAGGGCACGAAACCCATCCATGAGGCTCTACCCTCATGACCTCATCACCTCTCAGAGGCCGCACCTCCTAAAAAAAAAAAAAAAAAAAAAAAAAAGAGTTTGGATCCTGATACCAGTCAGTTGCAAAAAAGTAAACAAACAAACAAACAAAAAAAACCTTAATGAATCCAAAAGAAGGCAGAAAAAGAGGAAAAGGGAACAAAGACCAAATGGGACAAGTGGAAAACAAATAAACAAATGGCAAGATGATAGATTCGAACCTAACCACATTGCTAATCACATCACATGTAAATGATCCAAACGCCACAGTTAAAAGGCAGAGATTCTCAGGGTGGATAAGAAAGCAAGAGCCAATTATATGCTGCTTACGACAAACCCATCTTAAACATAAATATTTAAATAGGTTAAAAGTAAAAGGATGGGAAAAGATATCCCATATAAACAGTAATCTAACGAAAGCTGGATTGGCTATATTCATATCAGACAAAGTATACTTCTGAACAAAGAATATTACCAGGGACTGTGAGGGTCATTTGTAAGAAGGTTGAACTTATGATGAAGGCCGGACTTCTATGCCAAAACTAGGCCCTGGTTGAGAAAGAATGAGGCCCTTACATATGGGATGGGGACAGTTGGGTGGATGTCCCTGACACCTTTAATTTCCAGATCCCCTGACCCTCTTGCCTGCAGAAGTGCCCCCACTATTAAGAGCTTCCCTTTCCTTGAAGAGATGCAGGGGCCACTGCCTCTCCAGACCATGTGTTATGTGCTCAAAGCTTGTCCCTACCTCCCGTTG